ATGCGTCACAGCCAATCCAATGGCTTCATGGTCAAAGATGCCCATCGGTTTCATTTTGTTTTGTTCTTTTTTACTTCCTTTAAATCCCTTTCCATCACCCTTCATCATTGAAAACAACTCCAAATTAAAATAATGTGTAAATTTATTTTTCTATGTACTGAGGTGTAACTTTTGTTTAGTACTGATTATAAATTGAGTTTTACTTGTTATTGAGTCAATGAGTTAACCGGTTTATTCAATCTATTATGAATTGGATAGTAAATTTTATATATTTAATGAGATTTAGCCCGTTCAACTAACTAAAATTATAAAATAATAATAATAATAATAATATAATTATTATATTAGTAAATTATATATTTTAAAATATTGAATTATTTAAAAATATATTTTAAAATAAATATCAAAAAAGTGTTTTAAAATTAACAAATTTAATACAAAAAATTATTTTTGAAAATATTTAAGACCCCAAATCAATAAAGTATTGGGTTAGACTACATCTAATAAAATAAATGCATACACTGGATTTAATTCAATTCAAGAATTGTGTTTTATTGGATTAGGTGATATTAATCCATGTATATCTTTAATTTTAAATATATAAAATTTGAGATTATTTTATAAATTTATTTATTTATTTACTAGAGGTAGTATTTTTATAAATTTCTTTTTTCATAAATCAATCAAATAATTTTTTTAAAATAAAAATAAGAAAAAAATGTAAACTTATTTTATTTATAATTTTATTTACATAAATTCTCTAATTTAATGTTTATATTATTATTTATACATAATTAATTATATTTTGTGAACGAACTTTTATTTTTTTAATGTTTTTTTATAATGAACAGATTTTAGAAGAAGTGAATCGGTAAAAATTGATATGGACTATTATTATATGTTATATCTTTATTAGTAAATTGAATAAGAATTATATAAACTATTCTGTTTAATGCACCGAAAATATTTACAAAAAAAGTGAATATAAATTTTTTCTCAAATTTAAAATATATGATATTTAAATTAGATGATAAATATTATTTTTTATTATTTTTAATAAATTTATTAATTTTTTTATTATTTTAATGTTTTTCTACAATAAATAATTTATTATTTATTCTTTTATAATTAATACTATCTTAAATTTTATATACATTTTACATCTAAAAATATATTTTTTTTATTGAAACATTATATGTCACCTACAGATTGAATTGCTAATTACTGACAGGAAGCCCGTCCCCAATCATGGAGTCCAGCATGTGAATAGCATACAGAAACTGGCGGCTTGGACGCAAATAACTTTTTTCATTTACAATTCCCAAACGCACTTACATCCTGTGAAGACAAGTGCTTATTGTTGCCCACACGCTCCTAACGTTTATTTCTTTTTCAATCTAATTTTTCTTATTAGTAGTAAAATTTATGTGTTTAACTATTTTTAACTAAAATCCTTTAATATAATTGTGATCTATATATATATATATATATATATAATCTCAATTCTTACATAAATTTCACCTATTTAAAAAAATTATAAATATTATCATTACTTTTCACATATGAAAAGTATTAAAATATTTGAAATTAATAACTTTATATTCTCTCCTTAAATTTCATTCACAAATATTTCTACTAAACATAATTATTAGTGTCATTTTGTTAGGTTTCAACGTAGAAAAACGAGATTTCAGATATTTATATACTTTTTTATTTTATTCATAAGTACATGGTTTAATTAAAATTTACTTCAGTTTCAATATTTTCAATTAAATAAAATTAGTATTTGAATATATAATTTGATACAATAATATTATTAATAAAATTAATATATATTCAAAAATTAAATATTTATTTTATTTAATTTATATATGTGAAGATAATATTATTAAGATTAATTATTACATCTAAAATAATATCTATGTTAAACTCTATTCTTAAAAAAAATGTAGAGTTGTCAAGGATTGTACAACCCAATTTAATCTTATCCCAGGAATCAAAGTAAAAAATTAATTATCTAACTTAATTTATATTTTAAAATAAACTAAAAAATGTAGTCTAGTACGACACTATGTATTAACACATCAACAAATCAATTTTGAATATATATATTTTTTAATAAAATATTATTATTATTATTTAAAAAATAATTATTTTTTATTAAATAGGTCAATTCATAAATCTCCTTTCATTCTTTAAATAGATATAATTCAATTTATGACATAAATTTTAGGTTAAATAGATAATTTAGTCATTTTTATTTTTTAAAATGTTTCAATGTGGTCCCAAAATTTTATAAATTTTCAATTTAGACATGAATATTGAAATTGATGTTAATTTTAGACTACAGTTATTTATGTTTTGACTCAGTTATATTAGAGGTCTGATGTCGTTAGGTGATTGATTACAATTAAGTAACAGATTTGCCACGTCACATTAAAATTGCAGGAAGAAAGGAATAGGAGTCGCATATGTGTTTAGGGTATGAGCAATTGAGAGTTTGTGTTTTCTCGTCGATGATAATCGCTTATCACGTTTCTCTCTTGTCATCGTCGTTCCTTCGTCGTCGCAATGGGTCGCAGGTAGTCCCTCCCGCATGCTCAACTTCGTCGTCGTAGCAGGTCCCCTTCCCTCGTCGTCGGAAACAACTCGCTCCATCAATGTCGTCGTCGCAAACCCTAAATGGAATCAACCTCTTCCTCTTTCGTCACAGTCAATCTCACACATGACGGTGATTAAAACCCTAAACTCCCACTATCGTCACAAATGAAATTTCAACCTCCCCTGTCGTTGTAGATCCTCTCACTCATTTGCATAAACTCTCAATTGTTCAAACCCTAAACACATATGCGACCCAAATTCTTTCTTCCTGCAATTTTAATGTGCTGTCACGTAACTATAACCATATCAGAACTGATACTCCAACTAGACATCTAATATAGCGGAGTCAAAATATAGAGATAGTTTAAAATTAACATCATTTTTAATATTGATGTCTAAATTGAAAATTTTAAAAATTTTGGGACCATATTAAAACATTTTAATAAATAAAGGGACTAAATTGCTTATTTAACCTAAATTTTAATTTATTTTTCAAATATTTTAAGTGTACTCGTATTAAACATATTTTGATAATATGAAAATGAGTAATATATACCGTAAAAGATGGAGATCATACCTCACGCCTAATAATATATATAAGAAAGGATATTACAACTCTTAAAACACATGAGGGAATAATAGTTTAATCTTAAATTAAACGATAATTTACTTAAAGTGAGTAGAAGGCGTTTTATGTTCAATAATTTATAAAGTTTGGAAGGAGTTAGAATAATAATCAATGATATTAAGTTATGTACTAGTGTTATAGATATCATATGCATGATAATTTGGTATCAGTAAATTTAAAGTATTATTTCTCAAATGCAGTCTACAAAAAATAATTTATCCTATTTTTTCTAATAAATATTATTAACGTTTAACACCATATTTTCATTGTGACAGGAGTATTATCGGGTTTTTTTTGTCAATAAACAAATTCTATCAAAAAATTGTCTAATAGAAACAAGTTTGTGTCAATTAATATATGAATCTTTTGTATAGTGTTTGAGAGACTAAATGACTCATTAGATTCAATCTAATCATTTTTATCTCTTCATATTCATGTATAGTTTCACAAAAAGAAGTAAAAATATCTCTTATTTACTTTATTTTATTAGTATTGACAAACAATTATAAAAAATCAAAATATTTAAAAAATTCATAAAAATTAAAAAATAATTTAATTCTTTGATTAATTTTATGATAATTAAAAATATTACTATAAATATTAAACTTAGATACAAAGAAGGATTAACATTATATTTTATTTTTTTTCTTTATCATATAAAACGTTAAATTTAGATATATAAAAACTAAAATCATATATTTGAAAATAAAAGAGATTGTATTGATAATTTTTTAAATTTTAAAAAATTATGAAAAATATAAAAACAAACTATAATTTTTTTTTCTTAATTGTGTAAGGTCGTAATTATAAAGAATATTCAGAAGAAAAAAAAGGACCAATGTCATCAAGATCAGGCGGAGCCACAGCATGTGATGGCACTCTCCTCGCCACCACATCATAACTATACAAAAAGAATCAATGTTAATTAATAAGATTAAAGAGACTAATTAAAAACATTATTACCTAAGAATAATTTGATATATGTAAATTTAATGAAAGAAGTAGTAGCATATAATCTCACGTGACACACACATGCACAAACAATTCCATCAATCCTTGTTGTTCATGATACAACATGCTATTTGACAAATAATTGACCGGTTGGAACACGTGGACAAGACAAGGCACAGGTACACAAAATAAGCACTCCATCTCCATTATTAAACATCAAACATGGGCAGCATGTCGTGGTAGAGTAACCTACGCGCTCACCGTGGAGCGTGGAAAACCATTCCAATAATAAGACACTCCTCAGACAACACAACCACACTCACTCACTTCTCTCTGGTTTTTAGAGAGAGAAAGAGGAAAGGAGTGTTTGTTTCAGAATATAATTTCTCTCAGAGCAGCTTTTCCCTGGTTTCCAGCTTTTTCTAAAGTTTGGGATTTTTACCACAGTTTTTAATCACTTTCATTGTTGTTGCCATCCAATAATCATTATTATATTCTATATGCCAAAAGCTTTGCATTGCGGTGTGTGCATACGTTCACCACTCGAACTACTAAATAAGCTCTGAATCTTAGCTGTTAAGTTTATTTACAGACTCTTTTTAATGTTAATTTATTGTTTTCATCTCGAGATTTTCAGCATTACTTCGCAACCTTGTTCAGCTTCTCTCTTAGGTAAGTTCATTTTGTTTCTCAGATTTATCCTTCATGTTCATGTTTAAAAATATTCCACTCCACTCAACTTTATCTTTTAATTTTTTTATGCTTGTGGAATAATGGGTTTGTTTTGGTTTCTTACGGGGGATTGAATTTTCAGAAGAGGATGGTCAGGCGATTGGTTTTAAGGGACAGGAGTGACCAGAAGATTAACGTTGAGCTTGGGAAAATGAGTGAGGAGAGATCTGGTTCACAGTACAAGAGAGTGAAGATCCATGGAGAAGTTCTATTGGGATTTATGTTGATCTGCATAGTCCAGTTTTCACATGCAGACACTGATCCCTCTGATGGTAATGATTCTGTCTTCCTTTTTGTCCTCACCAATTTTCCTCTACAGTGATGCTCTGGGTTGATAATTGTACTTCTGTGCCTTTTTTGTTATGTGTGTCATGCTCAATATTTCTCAGTTGAATCAAGATTATATAACCTTGTGGTTCTGCTTCTGCCTCACCTTCCCATGACTACTTTTATGAAGTATCCCGCCTTTAGCTAGGCCAATGTGCAATGGGCTACTAAATATGTGGCGGGGAAGAACGTGTGATGTTTGTTCTGTTACTCTTAACACGTATCTTGATTGTTTTCATCTATCTGGGGTCTGTCCTTAGAGTGTTAAAATTTTGTAATTGGAGCAGTTACAGCAATAAATAATTTATATACTGCATTGGGCAACCCTGTTCTTCCTGGGTGGGTTCCTAGTGGAGGTGACCCGTGCGGACAAGCGTGGCAAGGTGTTCAATGTAATGGTTCATTCATACAAGAAATGTATGTAACCACTTTCTCTTACTTTTTCTTCACATTGATTGAAATCTGACAAAATAAATAACCATTAGCTCTTTGTCATTCATTACAGAACTCTGAATGGTGCAAACTTGGGAGGAGAACTGGGTGACAGCTTAGGAAGTTTTGTTTCTATCAGAGCAATGTAAGTAGCTCTCTCTCTCTGCTCCACACTTGCTGGCTTGCTTTATTTTTTCATCCATCTTTCTGTGTCCTCAGGCATGTGCATGGCATGAACAAGTCCATTTGTTAATGTATGTCTGCATGTATAGAGCATTTCCTCAGTTCATGAATTTCTTTGGTCGTTCTTCCTTACTGTTTCTCCCACAATACCGTTACTGTTTCTTTCATATTTCTGGGGCAGAGTTCTAAACAACAATCACATTGGGGGGACTATTCCATCCAGTTTGCCGGTCACTTTACAACACTTGTATGTGGTACCAAATTTGTGATACTATTTCTTACAACACATTGTGCAAAATAACTTGATGGTTTGTACTTTTGTAGCTTTCTTTCAGATAACCAGCTCACTGGAAGTATTCCAGACTCTTTATCCACACTGAATGAATTGACTGACATGTGAGTTTATTGCACTTTCTGTCTCTATCAAATTCTAATGAATGATAGATGTTAACTGCTATGCAAGTTTACCTAAATGAGATTGAATTATCCCCTTTCAGGTCCCTTAACGACAATCTCTTAACAGGAGAAATACCAGATGCATTTCAGTCTCTTACTCAATTGATCAATCTGTAGGGACTCATTAAATTATTCCTCAACTGCATACATATAAATTTAAATGGAGATCACTTTATCCTTGTTACATATAAAACTTATTTGGTGAACCGTCAACTGCTGTGCAGAGATTTATCTAATAATAATTTGAGTGGGGAATTGCCTCCATCTATGGAGAATTTGTCAGCTCTGACCAGTGTGTGAGTATCTTGTCTTAATAAGATTACTTTTTTTAACATTTTTCTCTGTTCTCTGTCAATCAATCTAAGTTTTTCTTCATTTGCAGACATTTACAGAGCAATAACCTTTCTGGGACCCTGGAGGTTTTACAAGACCTTCCACTGCAAAATTTGTACATTTCTTTGCATGTTTCTTTTAAATTTTGCATGAAATTAGTTCCTACAGTTTCATCCAATTAGATGTTAATCCCTGAGTGCTTCAATAATTGGAAAGTTTAAAGATCATTTCTTCACCATATAGGGACTAATAATAACTTAAATAAGTAGAAATTGTAATGATTAAAATCTAGACAAATAAAAAATATTAGACAAACACCTTACTGTTAAATGGCAAGGAGCAAAATCCAAATGAATTAAATGATAGAAACCAATATTCAGAAAAATAAAATAAAATTATGGGAACGGAATTGAATATGGTGAAAAATGTAGTGATCAATTATTCATTTTGGCCAATTAATTTAAAGAATTGTTGTTGATATGGGTTGTAGAGACTTTGAAGAATTCGAATTTGTATAGAATTTGATATCTTTACTTTGTCCTCACGTTTATTCTCTTTTAAATTTGTGCTTATTCTACCCTGTTTGAACAGGAATGTTGAGAACAACCAGTTTGTTGGACCAATACCCCCAAAACTGTTAAGCATCCCTAACTTCAGGTGAAAAACTTAAACATAAAGTATTGCTTCTGGAGGTGGTGGTTTTGCAGCTATTCGTATCTATACGAGAAAAATATATGTTTATTCCTTAATCAAAGTTTCCTTTATTCTCTGTTCCTTTGTTGATTTCTGTCACAATAGCAATTTGAGTGATAGTGTCTAACAATTGCAAGTAGTGTCGAAAAAGTATTCTACATATGTAATTTTGGTTCTTCAACAAACACATGGTGATTTTGCTATGCAGAAATGATGGAAACCCGTTTAATCTTAATGTCAATGCTACTATAGCCCCATCACGTCCACATTCTCCAGTGACGGCATCGCCATCAGGAACTGTGGTTTCGGTGACACCATCATCTGGACGTTTACCTACTAAACCTACTGATGGACCAACTGCAGCAAAGGAATCAAATCCTGGGAAATCGAAAAAGAACACAAAAAAGGTGGTTTGGATATCTATTTCTGGTATATTGACGTTTATTATTGTAGTGTTGGGACTTCTTCTCTTCGTTCCAAGATGCAGCAGAAGAGAACGGGTTAACATAAGTTCCAAGCAACATCAAGTTGACACTTATGGAGGTGAAAGACAGAAGAATCCCAGAGAATATGAGGCTTTTGTCCAACCACTTAGTCAAACTGAGAAAGGCAAATAAATACAACTTTTGCTCTCCCTTAATCTGGTTTCTGTTTTTTCATTTTTCCTCGTGAGGATTTTACTATAACCATTGCACTTTCGAATCATTTTTTTAATTTGTCTTCAACAGTACCAAAAGGAGTTGTAGTGAGGCCGAAAGGGGATCATCAAGAGGAGGCAAGCAGAGTGAGGGCAATTCCAAAGCCACAAAGCGAGAAACAGAAGGAAGAACAAAGAGTGGAAACAATCCCAAAGCTGTTAAATCATCAGATAGATATGAGTTCACTAGATGTATATGCCATGCCTTCTCCACCGCCACCTCCACCACTTACTACTGAGAGTGTGATTGTTGAACCAACCTCATTCCACAAAGGGGCTAACTTCAACCCTCCCAAAAAAAGTCCAGCTCCTACCACTTTTGCGAAAACTTTCACCATTGCATCCCTTCAACAGTTTACAAATAGCTTTTGTCAAGACAATCTTACAGGTTTAGGAATGCTTGGAAGTGTGTATAGGGCAGAGTTTCCTGATGGAAAGGTATGATTTTTGCATATCTAATTGCATTGATGTATATGGAATGTACTGATGAAAAGTCGTAGACTCTGGCTTTTTATGTGTTTGCACTGTCTCTTTATTGTTATGGCTAATGATTTAGTATTTCCCTAAACATTAATCAGGTAGCTACTAATGATCAAATTAATGTTGTTTGTTTGTGTAATCTCTTATATGTTCTCTTATATGGATAGATGATATTTATTTTATCGCATGTTAAAGTAATGATATGTTTGAATTGCATTTTGATTCAAGTTTCTCCATTTCTGTTTCCTTTGCTCAAACACTTGTAAATTATATATATACCATGATTGGGACTCAAATCTTGCTTCTCACTCATTATATAAATTGTTAGATACTTGCTGTGAAGAAACTAGACAAGAGAGTTACTGATCATCAAACAGATGATGAATTTCTTGAATTGATAAACAACATTGACAGAATCCGGCATGCAAATATTGTTGAGCTTATTGGATACTGTGCAGAGCATGGCCAAAGGCTTCTTATTTATGAGTACTGCAGTAATGGTTCGCTGCAGGATGCACTTCATTCAGATGATGAATTCAAAACAAGACTGTCATGGAATGCTCGCATTCGGATAGCACTCGGGGCAGCTAGAGCCTTAGAGTAAGTCAATGAACTATCAAGTGTAGACATTAAGGAAAATATTTTCCCCTAGCTGTCAATTTTTTCTATTTAGTCGCTTTAATGTTCCCGAACTCAAATTTAATTTGTCTTGCCGGAATTTTCAAGTATTTCTCAGTGGAATAATTTGGTGCTGAAACTTTTTTGCTAGAAACATTTTGATGTACAACTTTCTGAATCTAACACTGTAATGTTTCCCTCTGACAAGGTACTTGCATGAGCAGTGTCAGCCACCAGTTGTACACAGAAATTTCAAGTCTGCTAACATTCTCCTTGATGATGATGTTTCTGTTCGTCTATCTGATTGTGGTTTGGCTCCATTAATAGCTAAGGGTTCTGTAAGTCAGGTAAGAAATTATTACATATTATACAAAATAAGCCTCTGCATTATTATGAGGCACTGGTAAAAAATACATACTTCGAGTGGACTAACCAAGTAGTCAATGTTTTTTATTGTAATTTCGTGTTATGTTTAAGGTACCCCACCCCATCATTATGAGGCAATAACTCATAATTTGAATGATCAGCATAGGCATATGAATATTGATAACTTGTAGCCAAAAGATTGATAATTATTTTCACTCAAAAAGAAAACTTCAAAATCTTCCTAAATGAGTATGCTTCCTGTGAAATGTAAACTTGTATTTGCTTGTTCCCTCTGAAGTATCTTGCAACTACATTATATCAATGATGCATAGCATTTCATAAAAAGAAATCATTGAAATTTGCATTATATAACATTCCATGCATTTTCAGCTCTCAGGACAACTGCTAGCAGCTTATGGCTATGGAGCTCCAGAATTTGAGTCAGGAATTTACACATACCAGAGTGATGTTTACAGCTTTGGAGTGGTTATGTTAGAACTTTTAACAGGCCGTCAGTCCTACGACAGGTGAGAGGCAATAACTGAAGTACTTCAGCCTCTATTTTCTGTCTTTTGATGAATTACTTCATGTATTCTGAAAATCTTGGACAGAACACGTCCTCGAGGGGAGCAGTTTCTGGTGAGGTGGGCTATCCCTCAACTGCATGACATTGATGCATTATCTAAGATGGTTGATCCTTCTCTTAAAGGAGATTACCCTGCCAAAGCATTGTCAAATTTTGCAGACATTATTTCCAGATGTGTTCAGGTATGCTTCTTTATCTCTGAACTTAAAAGTGTTGCTTAGTTTACCGATCTCTTTGTCATGGTATTGGATTCTTTGCCTTATATGTGTATCTTATGCAGTCGGAGCCAGAGTTTAGGCCAGCAATGTCAGAAGTTGTCTTGTACTTGGTAAATATGATCAGGAAGGAATCTCAACAAAGTGAATCAAATGAATAAAGAATGGAAATGGCAATGATATTTGAAGATGATTACTTGTGCAAAGAATTTCATGCATGATTGTATGCCCCCATATTAAAAAAGTGATAACTTTTCCAACGTTCACATGCAAGGAGGGTTGTCTAATCAGCTTCAGAGAATTGTAGTAATGACACTCCTTGCACTCATGTGTAATTCATAATTTATTATTATTATTATTATTATTATTATTATTATTATTATTATTATTATTATTATTATTATCATTTATGGTTCACTAAATCATACCATGTTGCAGGGCCCTGGAAATTGAATTAAAGTCATTTGTTTGATGATAGCTTCAATGTTTTTATGCAGAAATATTATTCATTGTGCTTCCTATTGATTTTGTGTTCATCCTTGAAGATGACTTTTTGATAATCCTTGTACCTATGTACAGATTCAAGCTTTGTAATTTTATATTGTGAATCTTCTTCTTTAAGATAAGATGTTTGAAAATATTTTTCATAAAGGTAATTTTGGATACGTGTTCATACACTAGTTAAAATGTGTTGTGTATTGACAATTAATCATCATGACAACAAAATTTTCCTACTACATGCAGGTTTGAAGTTGAGGAATAGGACCATAGAGAAAAATTGGACCTGTAAAATGGTTAAAAATAAAGAAATATTTACAACTCAGGTTACAGAATTTTCAACTGTAGAATCATGAATTTTTAATACACTAATATTAATTGTTACATAATATTAAAAAAAAAACTAATTACAATCAGTTTAATTATAATTTGAGTTAGACCCCAACCAATAAATCATGAAGGTGAGTCAAGATCTTCATTGTTAGAGAATATTATAATAACTAGGGAAAATGTAATTGTGTGTTGATATTTTTTTTTTAATTTCTTAAAATAATTTTTTTTTATCATATGTTTTTTTTTTCAATATCACCTATTTCATGCGCTTGTTATGTATATTATATGTTCTTTGTTTACTTTTTATAATAAGTTTTCTCTCCTTTTATCTAAATATATAATATTATAATGTCCAAATTAGGATTGTGAATCTAATTATAAAGAATATGAAGAAAATTTCAACTTTGTGAAATTACTGATATATTTTTTAACTCATTTGATACAATACCACCTTATCCTCCTTAAATAGTATTGTCATAAACATATTTCTTTTTAAGTTTAAATAACATTTTTTTTACATAATTATATAATTAAATTATTTTTTAAATGATATTTAAAAAAATGAATTAAAAATATGTTGAAACAGAACATAACAATATTTTATTAAATATTAATAAATGTTCCAAAATTATTAATAAATAAAATTTAGTTAACCATTTATACAAATATAATCTTTTATATATTTTTTCTTTTACTCTTTAAATAAGAAAAAAAATTCTTTTAGAAATTTTTTATGATTTTCTTAATATCACATGGATAAAATTTTAGATGAACATAACAATTTTTATTTTTTATTTTTATTTTTTTACAAATATCCTAACAATGTTTTTAATGTTTCATCATAAAATATGAAACACAAACATTTAAGGGGAATGTATTAATATCACTTTTATCATTAGCAAGTATGTAATAGCATATTATTATGTTTAATAAATTTATTATTTTAAAAATAGTGTTTGATAAGATTCTAACAAATTAATATTATATATCAAAGTTAACATTTTCCACCATTTAATTTATTTCATTTTAGTTTGATAGAGTTATTTCATTCTAGTATGATAGAGTTATTAATAAATTTTGTTAACTTCTCTCAAACAAATTAAAACAACAACCAATGACGCATAGTTAAATTTATTAATTGTGTGATGTTTTATAATATATTTTTATCATGTAAAAATTTAAATTTATTATATATTTATTTATCTTTAACTAAATCAATAAAAAAAATCAAATAAACATCTGCAATTATTCAACCACCATTCGAATTTTAACAATAATGAATACAAAACAACTTATTTAAAACTATTTTTACATCATCGTATTCTGTTATTATTTTATTCTACTGACAAAATAAAATTATTTTTATTAAGATGATAGTAAACTAGCCGAAACAGCACTCATGTGCATGTGTACGTATTTTTTTATTTTAACAAAATAAAATTTAATGTATATATTATTTTTAATTTTTTTTCTAAAATTATATACGGTTGGAGGAAAAAATTATAGGAGGGAATTTAAAAAATAGATAAGTAATCTGTCACACTAAAAGGTGATTAAATTTTTTATTATTTTGTATTTATTTTATTTTAAGAGAAAAAAATTTGAAGAATTTTTTTATTAATTTTGCATTGTGTTAAAGGAACTGTTTTGAACTCTTTTATGTTTTTGATAAATTATTTTATTTTTAGCATATAAAAATAATTTAATCATTTAACAAACCATAAATAAATAATTGCACACTTCTTAACTAAAAAATATCTTTTCTTTACTGTATAATTTTTAAAATCACTCCTAATTTGTTTCACAAATTCAATTAATTAAATATTTTAATAATATATAAAATAATATTTTTTATATATTCAAAATATACTAAAAAATAAACTATTATTTAATTAAATTATTAGTGCTATATGATAAATATAATATATATTTTTTACTTATAAATATAATTAATATATCTTAAAATAATACTATATAATAAAAATATACAAATATCGTGCATATAAAATATTATCTTAGAGGGAAGCATGGTGATCACCATTCCCATTTTTTTTAATTATTATATATATATATATATATATATATATATATATTTTTTTTTTTAATTTAGTTTAAGAAAAAAGAGTGAAACCATCATTTTATATAACAATATGCGAGAGTCTCGGAATCCTTCCCACATGGGTGGTGACTTCTTGTAAACTTTGAATCCTTGATATATGAATTGTTTGTCTTTTTTAGGAGATGCTCTTTTCCAATAACAAATTTCATTAATCAAATCCTAAAACTTCTAACAAATAGATACACTTATGATAGTTAAGTTACAACTTTTGAATGTTAGTGAATGGTGTTGTGATAATTACATGCTTTGTTTTTTTTTTTTTTAAAGAGTTTCAACCCTTTCACTAAATTATCCTATAAGCATCAACCAACAAGAAAAAAATTACATGACTTATTTTCTTAAAATAACTATCTAATAATTTAATTTATTAATATAATAATAATTTTAAATTGTTTTATTAAATTATTTCATAACTACTATATTTTGCACAATTATCAAATTATGAATTTGATAGAGGAACTGTTAATAAAAATATTGGTTTAAGAAATTGGTGCTGTGACCCAACAAAACAGGGTATGTTTAAGAGAATGAGATAGAGAGTATCTCCATAATTTATATATATTTATATATATATATATATATATATATATATATATATATTTACAAGAAGTAAATAATTAATTATGATAAGATATAAATAGTTGGAATAAGTTTATATTTTGTAAATAAGTTATTAAATTAAATTTTAAATTAAAATTATGAATAATTTTACGTACATTAATTTTCTCGTAACTCTTCATTGTACTTTCATTGAATATTGACTATATTCAAATGCTAAAACCGTCATAAGTCCGGTCAAAGTAAATATTACTTTTAATGACTTTTTCTTTATCATCTCGACGATAATATAATTTATCTAGTAAAATATTTATATCTTACAAACTAAAATTAAAAAAAATTATTTATTAACAATAGGATTAATTATTAAAATATTTAAAAAACTTTATTATGATATTTGTTTGAAGAAAAATACTTAAGTTACACTCTAAATTTAAAACAAGAGTATTAATTACATTACTATATTAACAAGAGTATTATAATTACATTTCTATATTAACAAGATAATTAATTACATTACTGTACTAAAAACAACTTAAACTCTTAACTTTAATTATTAACTATATATTAAACACTTTAAAATTAAATAACTGTTTGTATATATGATAATCATGCTCTCAAACATCTTTTTACTAGAAAAAAATTAAGAACAAATATATTTTTATGATAATTTTAAATTTTAAAACATTTAATAGGTACTAGAATTAAAATAAAAATCATAAATAAGTTTAAAAAAATAAATGACTTATTTTCTCACAATCTTTTTAGAATATAACTTACCTATCCTTTAGCATAAAAAAATCATGTCTTATCTTCTTCTCCAGAAATAAGTGGGTTCAATTTTAATTATTTTCGGTTCATTTTTATTACAAATATTATAAAATAAAATAGTTTATTTGTTGTGATATAATTTGTTAAGTTGATTTTAATTATTTTAAACAAACTTTACTTACAATTTCTCAAATTGTGAGCAACAAATAGAATATTGTCTTTTATCCATCACCTGTAATAAATTAAAAAAAAAAGAAAAAAAGAACAGGATTACATGATACATACACTAATGGAATGAAATAAGTTAAACCACTACACATATATGAACCCATATATACACTAGAAGTTTTATACATTTATATGTGAAAATGAATTAATAGAAGCTTTATACATTTATCTGTGAAAATAAATTAATAGGTTATTTGATTTTGGTACTAATTTCAAAAGTATATTAATTACCTTATTAATGACTTTTCATGATATATATATATATATATATATATATATATATATATATATATATAATTTAAAAGTATTTTGGATAAGTTAGTTACTCTTTCAAATAATAGCCGTTGTTGATTGCTGTTAAGATTCAGATAACCTGTTTTTGAATTGTGTCCCAGTATATTGACAGTTATAATATATATATATATATATATATATATATATATATATATATATATATATATATATATATATATATATATATATATCTTTTTTTTTTTATCTTGTTTTAAAGGAAGACCAACCAATCATATATTTTATCTATCTTATATCTTATATCTCATACCTCGTTACTCCTTATATATTCTTCCACTCTCTCATTTTCTTTTTAAATCTTCAAGGCAGACACAAACATTATCTGTATAGTACTTTCATAGACAATTTCTTCAGACAGGATCAAGAATTCAATGGCCTCAGAAGAGATTGATCTTTCTCTCTCGCTCGGTTGTGGCGATGGTAGTTCAAAGAAAACTCTCACCCCTCCTTTCTCTTCCCCTCCAATTGAACCTGTTCAAACTAACCTTTTGTTGATGACTAAGCCAATACATGTCGCTAACCCTAATCTTAACCCTTCCTTTCCATCATCCTCCAACAACAACATTGACCCTTTTTTGGTATCTTCCAGCGATGACAACAACCTTCCATCTGTGGCTGCTAAAGTGAAGGGAAATGTTTCCACCGGTGCATCCTCTACACGTCGCTCTCGTCGCGCTTCATCTAATCGGCGGAATAGAGCAGAGGACGAAACCATCCCTCCGCCGTTCCCTTGGGCGACGAATAAGCAAGCCACCATCCACAACCAGCGATATCTCTTGGAGAACAATATTTATACCATCACAGGAACACTTCACTGCAAGAAGTGCGAGCAGGAGTTCCAGTTGAGTCTGGATCTGGTGGAGAAAGCGCATGACCTGCGCAAATTCATTTACAGGAAAAAAGATAGAATGCATGATAGAGCGCCGGCAGCGTGGGTGAATCCAGTGTTCCCAAAGTGTCCCCTTTGCGGACGAGAAAACAGCACTAGACCCGTCCTTGCGAAAGACAAAAAAGAGATTAATTGGTTGTTCTTATTGCTTAGCCAAATGCTAGGTTGCTGCACTCTTGATCATCTCAAATATTTCTGCATGCACAACAGCAACCATCGAACTGGTGCCAAAGATCGTCTTCTTTATCTTACTTATATGGAACTCGCCAAACAGCTTGAACCTGAATGGTTTGATTCTTGATGTACCCATCCTCGTTCCACTTCCTCTTCAGTTCTGTTTGTTATTTGTTTTCATAAATTAAAATACAAAACAAAATCAAGTGTTAAAGCTGCGACTTGGTTTGCAATGGTTAGTAACTTGTGCTGATGTAGAAGATTTGGACCATCTGGTCCATCGGTGAGTGGTTCACTTTTCAATTTTCCATGGCTTGCTGTCAGTATGCACTCATTCCTCCTCCTTCGGATTTGATGAGAAGAGAGATGAAGGATGCCCTAGCACCGTTCTGTGACTGTGAGACTCATCAAAGAACCTTCCTTTTTCCAATTAATTTTTTCGTTTTCATTCAAAAATGTGATTTATGGATACTCACTGTGCTGTCAAAAAAAAAAAAAAGTAGTAGTGTTTTCTTCCTTTCAAGTAGAAATTCAACATATATAGTTAGATATTGAGTCCAATTTCATGTATTAGATGAACTTATCAATCTCTTGTATTAACTTAACATGTTTTTCTCAAGTTCTTAAGGTTTTTGGCAAGTATCAATTGGTTACCTGTGAGTGATTGATACTATTTAGTTTTTCAATTTTATCCCTACTTTATTTCAAATATATGAACAACATATATATATATATATATATATATATATATATATATATATATATATATATATATAAAAGGGATTTATAATATTTTTATTCTTAAAATTATTAGTATTTTGAAGTTTTTTCAAATTTATTCTAAAATCACTTTAGATTTGTTATTTAAAAAAAAATATTTAAAAAATAATAATAAAATAATGTTATTTGTGTCTTTACGTTTATCCTGTGATTTAATAAAATTAATTATATTTTATTTGATAATATATATATATATATATATATATATATATATATATATAAGTTATGAAAAAAAATGGTTAAAAAAAACTTTTATATAATATTATATAAACTAAGAAAAAATATACATTAATATGTTTTTATTTTAATAAGTTAAAATTAATTTTAGAAATATAAATATTTATCTCTAAAATTAAAAATTATTAAAAATTTGAGAAAAAAACGAATAAAGGAGATAATTAAAAAAGACATTTTTATTTTATATATATATATATATATATATATATTAAAAATAGTATATTAAAATTGGATAAAGTGAATTTTGTTATTATTATTATTGGAAAAAAATATTTAAATGATTTATAAGTACTATAATTTAATATATTATATAAAAAATATTATATGATAAATTTGAGATGTTACAAATATTATTATTACGTTAGCAAGAAAAAATTAAATATTTATTTAAAGTATTTTTTAATAAATAATTTTTTAATATCTAATTATAATAATTCAATCTAATTGTAATTAGATTAAATATTAAATAAAAATATATTTAAATTATAAATATTTGATATTTTTTTAATTAGATGAGTAATTATTTATTATGATAAAAAAATGTAAATTATTTATTTACATTATCGTAAATAAAATTATTTCTTGCCAAAATAAATTTATTATCATCCTAATTTTAAATATTTAGTTAATATTCTTTTAGTTTTAATGTTATTTTTAAAATATTTGTTTTAATATGTTTTTATTAAATTTTAATATAATAGTTTAATTAAAAGAATAAATAAGAGGAGAGAGAAAAATAAGAGTGTAAAATAAAGAAGAGAAAGATGAGAAGTGAAAGGAGAAAGAGAAATAATAAGTAAAAAGAAGAAAAATTACATGTAATAATATATTTATATAAATAAAATATTTTTTTTATATTTATTGAAAAAAAATGATTGGACAGATTAATAGTTTTAATTTATTAGTTTATTTTAATTTTTTTAATAAAAATATTAATTAATTAAAAAAATTTAAAAATTATTCATATAATTAAATATATATATTTTTTAAAAATAGATAAAAAAATTATATTAAAAAAATTATTAACAGATTAAACGCTAATCTTTCAAACTAATTTTTAATAAAGTGAATTAAGTATTTGTAACTCATCCTTAATAAGACAAATCAACTTACTGTATCCCATATTTAATGAGTTAGAGACTAAACAAGACTAACCATTTTGTCGTCTCTATTTTTATCTCTTACTTTCGTAATATATGTTTCTCAAATTTTATATTTTCCGATTTTTTTTTGTTTTCGTTAGCCTTCTAATTTTTTATGGCTATGTACATGATTAAAAGGACAACTTAATACTTCAATCGAGTCACCAATCACAAAAATAAATGCTTGATAGGAAACATATTATATTTTCTTTCATTCATATTATTACAGTTGTAATTAATTTTTATTTTCATTTATGTCTAATTACTCATTTAGTCTCAATAATTATTAACTCTTACATTTGATACCTTTAAATCTTTATATATATATATATATATATATATATATATATATATATATATATATATATATATATATATATATATATATATATATATATATATATATTAGACTTTCTTTATTATGTAAATGCAGTAACTTCTTATTTCAAAGGCTCCAAATTTCAATGAGAGAAATTTATATTTTATTTAAAATATTAAACGCATTTACACATGATTCCTCTCTACTCAAACAACAAAGAAGGGCAAAAAAAGAAAAAAAAAAATGGCACGAAGGAACGGTGGTAGCAAGAGAGAAGGGTGCATGAATATTTTGTCCCCGGTGATTTTGTATCACAATATTGTGTTGGTAACGCGCCAACTATTTTCTCTCCCCTCCTCTTCACTTTTCATTCCCCTTTGCCCGCGAAGCAAAGAGAAGCCGTTCATTTCTATTCCCTTGGCTACCAACAAGTATCTTCATTCCCTCATTTTTCGACGCCATTCTCATTTCCATCCTCATCGAATCCCGTATCAGTTTTCTTATATCTCTTCTCTCTTCATTTTTATTACTTAGATTTCTCTCTGTCTAGATCTCCGTGTTTGGCATGAGTAACTACGATACCAACCCCTTCGCGGAAGACGATGTTAATCCCTTCGCCGTAAGTTTCTTCTCTAACTCTCTTCATTTTTCTATTCCTCCGCGCATTCAATTAATTATACATCTTCTCCCGTTGCTTCCTGTGTGTTTCTCCATAACAATAGGACATTCAATTATCTGATCCGTGTTTGAGGTGTCATCGCTAAATTGAATGAAATTCGTATTGTTGCTTCGGAATATATGACACGATTGTTCGAACATTGTTCAATGTTAATGTAGACTCTGTTCTTGTTTCGGTCAGATCTTAGAATTTGAAACTTCAGAACAGAACGTTTCTCCCCAATGACGCCACATATAATGATTCTGAATTTCTGTGGCTCATTAATTTTCTATTTCTCGCGACCATGTTTTCGATTTTTGTGGATGTCTGTGATGCCATGACAACATCTCCATTGCGGTGGCCACCTCATTCGCGCCTTTTTCTAATTTCCGACCTGACATAATGATATTCAATTGATTTTTAAGTCTCTGTATACACATATCTATTCTTTAAGGTAAAAGAAAATTTTTAATATAAGAATATTCTCATAATATGTATAAACTTTAGTATTGAATTTAATTTATATGCATGCTTAATATAATTTTTTCAATACATATATCTAATAGAATGTGATCATCTTATTATATTATATCGTTCTATTTGAAACATAGATTCAATAGAATTTTATTATGCCTTAAATGATTGTTAAAATTATTTTATATTGTTGGTACATTTAAATTAAACTCAATTGAGGAATATTATTTCGAAACAAGTTCTGAAAACTTAGAATACATATGATACAAGATGGATAATATATATTGTATATATTTTATAAATTAATTTAATTTTCTGTAAAAGAAAAGAAAAGATTGTAATCTGCAAGGAAAACATTTATGAATACGGTGGAACATTTCATGAAAATTAATGCCACTAAATTATTTTGAGCACTTGTGAGAAAGAAAGCCATTGAAATGAAAATACATATCACCGGAAATCCACGATTTTCAGAAAGTTTCAAAAGAATATTACTAGTATTAAAAAAAGTTATTTAAATCATTGACTGATATTTTCAATCATAAAGTGTTTTGAATTATTTTTGGACTGTTTTGTTTTACAGCTATTAATATTATTGAAATTATATAATTTCATATATACAGGAAAAAAAAACCCAATAGAAAATGAAATATTGGAATGACATTAACTAAGATATAGATATATTATATATTTACTGGAATCTTTTTGGTTTTTGGTAAGAGAGGATATCCTGATTTTTTTTTTTATGTAATTTATGATTTTATTTTAAATTTAATAATTATTTAATATATTTATTGATATATTTATAATATATTTATTTGTACATTTATAATTTTATTTTTTCAATTTTTTTAATTTTGCAACTTTTTTATAATTTATAATTTTGTCTATTAAAAATTTAATAATTATTTAATATATTTACAATTTTATTTTTTAACTTTTTTATATTTATTTATTATTTATTAATAATATATGATCTTATTCAAAGATTTCCATCTACTGTACATGCAGTAATACAAGTTAATTAAGAAAGAAATCATTATAAAAAAATATAATGACTTTTAAGAGACGTAGAGAAAATAGAGAAACTATCCTACACCAAAAAAAAAAGTAAGATATTTGAGGTACGATAAGTTATTTTTATATATTATAATAATAATTTTACCCTCTAAAATTTTATTCGCTTCCAATAATGTTATTAGGATGGAGGGCAATCAAATCGTGGTGGTGGTGCATTCTATAATACGGTAAGTTCTCCCTTCCATGTCACTACTACCATTGTATGAACTTTCAGGTTACAACGCTTTATTTAATCATATTTTGGCAAACAAAGAAAGCACAGGATGCTTCAAATATTGAACAAGGTCGTGGTTTATTTCAAAGTTTCATAACTGATTTCAATATCTATAGTTGTTAAGGTTCCACGAGGCAAAAGTTTCATTTCAGACTATGTTGCTATGAATTTTCAAAAACTAAACTAAATAAAAACAGTGCTCGGTTTTTTTTTTTTTTTTTACCTTGTTCATTCATTACTTTGTTTTTTTTTTTTTTTTAAATCAGAATTCAGGGCGTGCTTCTGCAACCTCAAAGCTTTCACCCCTGTCCCCTGAGCCTTATGATCGTGCAGCAACTGTTGACATTCCTATCGGTTCCTCAATTGTATGGACCATATTGTGAACACGTTGAAAGAAATGTCAAAAATATGCTGTATTAATGTTGTTGATCAAATCTTTAATCGTGTAAATTTTATCTTTAGGACCTTAGAGCTAAGGAAAAGGAACTGCAAGCTAGAGAGGCTGAGCTGAAAAGAAGGGAACAGGTGAGTTATCCTGATCCCTTTCTTATTTGATAACTTTAAAACTCATTTTACCATGTTAGAAACTTTTCAACAGGTAACTTAGATTCAATTGTTTAGGTCGTTACATAGGTGCCAAAAATTAATAATAATTTTACCAGTTTTACGTTAATAAATATCACGGTCCCAATCGATAGCAATAGTAGCTGCTGTTATTATTAGAATATCGGTAAAAATACTTCAGCTGAGCTTTTGTTTATTACTTTAATAAGCAATCATTTCATACTTTAAATGTCATATCAGTGACTTCTAGATTAGTTAGCTTGGCTATTGCGCATATAAGATCTTTTGAGCTAGTCTAGTAACTTATGATCTTTTGATGTTTTGTAGGAGCTAAAACGAAAGGAAGATGCTCTTGCACGAGGTATTTTGAGTTCATTTATAACAGAACCCAACTGGAGTATTGTCCTTTAGATTGGGGGCTTACACTCATATTTTGTTTGCAGCTGGAATAGTAATAGAGGAGAAAAATTGGCCACCTATTTTCCCCGTAATTCATCACGACATTGCAAAAGAAATACCAATACATCTTCAATCAATCCAGTATGTTGCATTTACAACATGGTTGGGTATGTTGAGGTCAAGAACCTTTTTGTTTAAGTTATGCTTTTAGTCCTAAATACTTGATTTCTCTGATAATTAGTTAACGCAATTATATCTGCTTAGCTTCCTTTGATGACTTAATCTGTACTTCAGAGTGTTTAGAGACTTTATATCTAAGATTTCAGCATTAATTCAAATGTTGGACAAATTCATTCTTTTTTTATCTTCATATATGCTTAAAACAATAACTTTAAGTTAGAATCTCTTTATAAAAACAAGAGTATTTTAATCTTTTGATATGTATATCTTTGCTTTATAGCCGTTACATGTTCATGTTAGTAAAATCCATTTATCCAAAACCTGGTATTTACAACATTGTCTTTTGAACGTTGAAAATGAGTTTTTGCTTTATTTTAATGACACAACATCCAACGTGAAAATTGCGCCCTCCAATTGAACATATATATTTCTTTTTAGTATTTTGTTTGTAAAACAATATTAGTTTTGTATTTAAAAAAAAAATCAACAATATTTCAGGATGAAACTAAGAGTAATTGAAAATGTCAAAATATCTGCATCTAAACTTATATTAATTGAGTATTTATTAATTATTATGTCATATTTTGTTAAAGACTATATTATTTTAAAACGAAGACATAAACATTTAGATTATAGAATAACCATATTTTATTAAAAGTGAAATTACATCAAACTAATTGAGATTGCATTGGATGAAAGCACGAACAGTAAATATTGAATAAGACAATTAATATGAAACAAATGAGATTAATTTTCTCTCCTCACAAACTTTTCTAGTACACTTCCCAGGTATGCATGCACATATATCATGAGATGAATAGTGATACATTGATACCTTCATTTTTTCATACAACTAGGATACAGCTCAACTTAAAAATGTAACAATAATAAATATCGAAATTTAAACTTTTATTATCATCTTAATATTAAAAAGGGTTGATGATGTATGTGTTAAAAAAATTGTCGGTGTATAATTTTTCTTATGAGGTATCATGATATCAATCAAACAATTATGTTTTACAAGTTATTGAAATGGGAATTTAACCATTATACCAATTATGACACTTAACAGATTGATAACTTTATGATAATATATATATGATATATTTTATGTTAAAAGGAGTTTTACTCATAAATATATATTTTATGCTAAAAGGAGTTTTACTCGTAAATATATATATGATATATTTTATGCTAAAAGGAGTTTACTCTTGGTAGGTATATTGTTCATTAAATACATTTTTTTTAACAATTTTTTAATTTTTAATAAATTTTGTTTGTACTCTGTGTATACTTTCTTTAACAATTTTTTTTTCTGATTTTATAATTTTTAATAAATTTCAATCGACAATGAATTATGTGTTAAAAAACACATCAGTGGCTTATATGTGATGGGAAGCTTGGAGATGTAATAGGTGAACATTTATGAAAATATATATACCTCCCTGTTTATGCATAAATTCCTGGTATAAACATCGTTCACAAACATATATCATTGATTGCAGCCCATTTCTTAATTCTGAACTTTTCATCTCTGCAGGTTTGATTGTATGTCTTTTATGGAATATGGTAGCAGTTACTGTAGCTTGGGTCAAAGGAGAAGGTCTTGTTTACAACTAGATATTGAAGCTTTAAACATAGTGGGGAAATGTTGTTGTTTACACGAACTTGTCTTGTCTTGTAGGTCTTTCAATCTGGTTTCTAGCTATCATATACTTTATTTCCGGTGTTCCAGCATCCTATGTTACGTGGTATCGCCCTCTTTATCGTGCTACAAGGTAGTTTTCTATTTTCAATTCTTATAGCATTACATAGATATTCAAGATGATTGCAGCCTTTTCCCAAACTAGAAATAATTGTTAATGTCGCTCACATGGGCTTCGTCGCCTCTGTGAAGCATGAAACAATTTTCTGTAGGAGTAGTATATACATATGGGGATTTGTGGGCAGATTGTAAGCCAATATAGGCCAACGTTGTCGTTGTGAAACTAAAAAGCTTGTGGATGCAAAATTTACATTAAGAAAATGAAACACCTTAACCTAGTTTTGTCCAACGGAAGGGGGTGCCAGAAGGATAAAGAGTAGGATTGTTATTTAATAATGGTAAGATTGCAAGCAGGAACCATTTTAGTATCAGCAATTCGATTCTTCGTTCGTCACCTCCTCTGACTTAAACACTCCGAATTAGAATATTATGTTTTATAATTTTGTGCCATCTTCTGATACAGGACGGACAGTGCTCTAAAGTTTAGCTGGTTTTTCTTGTGTTACGCGGTAAATTTAACATACTTGCTACTTTTTCTCATTCCTTTTGCGCTAGTTTTTTTAAGTGTGTTCTTGTCCCTTTTCCAATTCCTTCCAAAGGTACACATTCTCTTCTGCGTTCTTGCTGCAATTGCTCCTCCAATTTTCTTCAAAGGGAAATCTCTCACGTCAGTTCCTTTCTTAAACTTCATTCTTTTAATTTAATCTGCTACCTAACGTTCTTGTTTAATCTCATGAAAGTTGATTTGTGAGAGGTTAGGAAAACATTTATAGGTTGCTTTGCTCCCCTTAAAACACCAATTGCCTTGATTTACCTCTGGTTTGTGATTTATCATCCAGCTAATTGATTTGTCTCTAAACTATTTAATGGATGGGACAATTGTCTCTATGCACTTGACTTGACGATTATCTAATCATATTTTTCTTTAACTTTTGTTGAGGGTATATGATATGTCTATTACGATGCCACCTTTATCAGTTATGTTATTGCTATACTGTTTCTTTTGCATTATAGTTGCAGTTTTACTTGAATTAATGGTTGTGTTATATGATCTTATGTTGTGGCCAGAGGCATTCTACCTGCGTTTGAGGTATTGGACGACAATACAATGGTTGGGGTATGTACCAACTGTGTTATTATTTTTTAGCTTATAATTTGTTACTCTTTCCCAGAGGGAGGGGCATTTATATTCCATGTTTAAGTGACTCTAAAAGCGCTGAATAACAGATATTATACTTCATTGGGTTTGGATTGTTCGCCGCTGAATCACTGCTGAGTATTTGGGTTATTCAGGTTTTCAATAATCCTAGCTTTACTTGGTTGCATTCTCTTGACTCTACTGCTTTCATTTTTTGATATTTAATTTATTGATAAATATTTGTTGACAAGCCTTACATAACCACACATTCAGTATACACTGTTTTTGTGAATATAATCATAATATTTATTATTTTATTAATTTATTCAATTGTATATGAGATGTTTGCGGTGTCAAATTGATCACTGCTCTTAATTTATATATTTGCAGCAAGTATATATGTACTTTAGGGGCAGTGGAAAGGCTGCAGAAATGAGGCGTGAGGCTGCAAAAGGAGCAATGAGGGCAGCTCTATGACAAAGCGATGGAACGTGGAAAATGGCACTTGCGAAGAAGGTCTATCTTAGCTATGGGTACACGCAAGATATTGATTTCATGGTGCCAGTTCTTTGTAACTTTCGAGGCCTGCGTAATAGTAGGATTTTTTACTTACTCTGTAGGTTTTGGCCTAGGAATTCAGTCAAGCTAGGTGGTTAACACAAATTCTAGTTGTGCATACATAGGGCTACGTTATTTGAGAATCGAGATATTCCCTTCACGTATATGCATGCATAACTTTTTCGTAGAATTTTATTTTACATTAACAAATAAGGTTAATGAAAAAAAGAAGAATTATTTTTCTCATGAAACTGTAACGTCTGACTATTTTATAGAAACTGTGGGTTTATTCACGGAGGTAAATTATTAATGATGTTCTAAAGCAATTATTGCACTACAAGGATACGCGATAAACCAAAGTTCATGAATTAAATGATAATAAAACATTTTCTATCACAATTTTAATGTTGTAACTGATTGTGGTAACAATGATTTGATGGATTTTTGGTGGAATCACGTGAAATATTCATTATTAGCCTTTGCTTAAAATTTTTAACTTGGTTTCATTCCGACTTCAACATTATTTGGTAATAGATTCTTATTCTGTTTCTTAACAGTAACAGGTAAAAGCTTGTATCGAGCTTGGTATTCAACTCAAAGATAATTACTATTATTATAGTAAAAAATTGTATCTTGATTAGATCGGACATCTTGCCTATATCCGTTAAAATTTATCTCAAACTTAATCTTAACTTTTTATTGCGTCCTCCTTACTGTTCATCATCGATCATAATATCAGGAAAAAAATGAGATAATTGATGGGATATTATATAGTTCCTCGTCTTAGGAAAACTGTAATTAATTATGATCTTCAAATATAAATGTAATTTCATTCTGATAATCATATTATAAATTAAATGTCAAATCGTACTGAATTAGCCATAATGATGATATCCTTTGTAGAGTATTATATTGGTCTTATGGCCTTCCACCTGAAGAGCACATTTATTTCCCTCTTGATTTTTTCTCTTGATGGGGATAGAAAGAAAAAAACGGAACTGATACTTACGTTTTGTGTGTGTACTCCCAGAAGGGGACCATGACCACTTAAAATAACCACAATTAAGTTAATTACTTAAGTTTTAATATTTCTAATTTGGCCCCTCATCAAATTACAAATTACTCTATGGTCTCTACACAATTTTATTTTCATGACTTATGTTTTTAGCCAAAATTTTAATTTAGTCAGATTACTTTATTATTTGGCTTAATAAATAATTACCCTAACACATTTAAATTATGTATCATAAATATACATGATCCAAATTTTGTCAACAATCTCCCACTGGTCACAAATATATATATCCTTACAACCTTACAAATGTGTTAGACTTTCTGAGCTCAAAATTGTCATTATATTCCTTTAACATACTCCAAAAGTCATGTCCATTAATCATATCAGGATATAGAACCAAATCAGCTTTTCATTGCATCATCACAACTAAAACCAACAATGATTACTCATCCTAACATAACCAAATGACATGGATTCATCATGAAATATGTAGCATGAAAAATTACGTGAAGGTGATCTGTACACGTCTATTTTCAACTGGTCCAAACTTTAACTTATCGAGATCGATATAATATCCTTAATGTACAAAGTGTAATGAATGAACGAAAAAACTGCATATCTATAGATAACCAAATATGTCCAAAAAATAAATATATACATATATTAAATTAAACATAGAACATAAAATATATGAAAGTGACTAACTCTCACTAAACCACAAATTCCTCAAACTGTAAAACACCCATGTGAGCAACATACTCATGAAAGACCTTGGGCGGAAGTCCTTTAGTTAGAGGATTTACTATCATAGAGTTTGTCCCTAAATGTTCTATGGAAATCTGTCCACTCTATACTCTTTCCTTAACAACTAAGAACTTAATGTCGATGTGTTTTGACTTAGTCGAACTTCTGTTGTTGTTGGAATACAATACAACTGATTTGTTGTCACAATATAACTTAAGTGGTCTTTCAATGCCTTTCACAATTTGCAGCCCTGTGACAAAATTTCTCAGTCATATTCCATGATTTGACACCTCATAGCATGCTACAAATTCTGCTGCCATAATGGATGAAGCTGTAAGGGTTTGCTTGACACTGCGCCAAGAAACCGCACCACCTGCTAACATGAAAATATAACCTGAAGTGGATTTCAAACTATCTTGACATCCTGCAAAGTTCGAGTCAGAAAACCCAGCGATCTCCAACTGGTCTGACCTCCTGTATGTGAGCATGTAATCTTTTGTTCTCTTTAAATATCTCATGACCCTTTTTGCTGCTTTCCAATGGTCCATTCCTGGATTGCTTAAATATCTGCCTAGAACCCCAACTATGTATGCTATGTCTGGACGCGTACATACTTGGACATACATCAAACTCCCTACAGCTGATGCATAGGGAATCTTTTGCATTTCCTCAATTTCCAAATTCCCCTTTGGGCACTGATTGAGACTAAACTTGTCTCCCTTAGCAACTGGAGTATCCCCGGATTTACATTCATGCATGTCAAACCTTTTAAGAATTTTTTCGATATAGCTCCTTTGTGATAATCCTAAAATACCCCGACATCAATCTCGGTGTATCTGAATTCCTAATACAAAAGACGCATTACCAAGATCTTTCATTTTGAAATTCTTTGATAAAAATTTATTGGTTTCGTGCAATATGCCTATATCATTAGTGGCAAGTAGAATGTCATCAACATACAAGATCAGAAAAATATATTTACTCCCCTTAAACTTGTGATATACACAATCATCAACAATATTCATCTCGAAGCCAAATGAGAGAATTACTTGATAAAATTTATAGTACCATTGACGAGATGTTTGTTTTAGTCCATAAATGGATTTTGTCAGTTTGCAAACCATACTCTTTGAATCTCCCTGCACAAAATTTTCTGGTTGCACCATATAAATCGTCTCATCAATGTTGCCATTAAGAAACGCCGTCTTGACATCCATTTGATGAAGCTCCAAATCATAATGTGTTATAAGAGTCATGCTTGTCCTAAAAGAGTCTTTCGATGAAACTGGAGAAAAAGTCTCTTTAAATTCAATCCCTTCCTTTTTGGTATAGCCCTTAGCTACCAGACGAGCCTTATACCTTTCCACATTACCTTTAGAATCCCGTTTGGTCTTAAATATCCACTTGCAACCAATGGATTTCATACCTTCTGGTAATGGGACAAGTTCCCAAACCTTGTCTTGCATGGACTTATACTCCTCCTTCATTGCTTCAATCCACTTTTCAGAGTTAGAACCTTGCATGACTTGACGGAAGTTAATTGGGTCATCTTTCATCATACCATTGTTTTCCTCATGTTCCTGAATAAATATCATGTAATCATCCGAAATAGCACTTATTCTTTCTCTAGTGGATCTTCGCAAGGTTATTGGCTCATGATGCACAGGTTCTTGAGGATCTTGAGTTTGTTCTTCATGAACAACCAAATCATCTTGAGTAAGGGGTTCATTAACAATGCCTTGTGAAGGTTCTGAACTTACTTTATCAAAAGTAACTGTTTGAATCGGTTCTGGAATTGTTACCGATTCTTCCTCCAAGACAAATTTCCTAATTTTATTCTTCCCCCCAAACTCAATATCCTCCAAGAACGTAGCGGTTCCTGTCTCAAAAATTGTCTTTAATGTGGGATCATAAAATTTATATCCCCTGGATCTTTCAGCATAACCAATAAAATAAGTACTTACTGTTCGGGAGTCCAATTTCTTTTCATTTGGCTTATAAGGTCTTGCCCCAGCTGGACATCCCCACACATGGAAATGTTTCAGACTAGGCTTTCGCCCAGTCCAAAGCTCATAAGGTGTTTTGGTAGCTGCTTTAGTTGGTACTCTGTTTAGAATATAAACTGTCGTCTTTAGCGCCTCTCCCTAGAGTGACTCCGATAAGGTGGAATGACAAATCATACTCCTGACCATATCTTTAAGAGTCTGGTTTCGTCTTTCAATTATATCATTCATACTAGGTGATCCCGGCATGGTATACTGTGGGACAATTTCACACTCCTCTAGGTACCTGACAAAAGGTCCTGGACGTTGTTCACCTGACTCGTCATATCTGTCATAGTACTCACCACCACGGTCAGATCTAACAGACTTAATTTTTTTATTGAGTTGATTTTCAACTTCAACTTTAAATATTTTGAACACGTCTAGAGATTGTGACTTTTCATGTATAAGGAATAAGTATGCATATCGTGAGTAATCGTCTATGAATGATATAAAGTATTGTTGATCATTCCACGAAGGTGTAGGAAATGACCCACAAATGTCCGTATGTATCAACTCTAAGATGTCTGTAGCTCTATATGCCCCTAATCTTTTTGCTTTGGTTTGTTTGCCCTTAATGCATTCAACACAAACATCACAGTTTGTTAAGTCAATGGAGTCTAAGATTCCAGTTGACACAAGTCGCTCAATTCCATTTTTAGAGATGTGACCTAATCGCTTATGCCATAATGCTCCTGAGTGAGTATCATCAATTTTACGTTTAGTACCCTGTGATTGTGTATTAAGGGTTTCATTATAGGTGGTCACAGTATGAAGTAAATACAGATTATCATAAGGCAAAAGTGAATCAGTTCCAACAATATCTGAATTAAAAGACAAACTGAATTTATTGTTTCCAAATGAACATAAATAACCTAATTTGTCCAAATAAGAAACTGAAACCAAATTCTGCCTAAATGACGGCACAACAAAAGTGTATTTCAAATCTAAATAAAAATCAGTACTCAATAACAATTTAAAATGCCCTATAGCTTCCACCTCTACCGATTTGTCATCTCCAACATATATCCATCTTTCAGAATCAATTGACTTTCTGTAGCTTAGGCAACCCTTCATAGAAACACTGATGTTAGTAGTTGCACCTGAGTTTAACCACCAAGTGTTACTAGGTACTGACACTAAATTGACTTCAGAACATACCAAAGTAGGAAACATACTTTTGAGGATCGGAACAAAATTTAAATTGGCAGATACAAAAGCAATTATAGCTTAATTAAGAACAAGAGAAATAAATTAATTATGCTCACATTATAAAAATAAATAATTATAAATATATATTCAAATAATGGTTTAATCCATCTTAAGACACCCAATGCACCATCAATACCAAGTCTTTGGACAGTAATATTAATTGCTAGAGGTATCTTGTTGTAATGGTTAAACACTGATAATAAGGCATGTTCAATAACAAACCTATCTTTGGATTGATTTTATTATCAACATGCAAATCCTTATAATTATCACATGTTTACCGTCACAGGTGTGTATGCAACCCGACCAAGTATTTATCTTCATTTGGGCCGACTAATACTCGCATGAATATACATAAACACTAACATTCAATATTTTTTCACGAACTACCCAATTCAAGAGAGGTTACTTTGGTGACTTCTTGACTCAATTTGCTCACAACAAATATTAAACTACAAAAAATTGAATATATTAATTATATAGCAAAACCAAATATTGTAACTAATAAAATACATAATTTTTCCACTGCGCCATACTCAACTACTGCAACCACACCTTTCTCCTTTGCGCTAGCTCAATCTCCCGAGTTCGGATCCAAATCCGAACTTGACCAGGTTCCACCTCTAACCCCGCTCTTCGGGGTCAGGGAACAACTTGTCCACCCCTTTTGCGGTAATGTTTTTACTCCACCAAAACCATAAAATCAATTACACAAACATCATCTATAATTGACCACTTCTCATAATAGAGAATGAGGATTCACTGAGGTTAACCCTTCGTTCAATAACTTCAAGGTTTTCTATTCTCACGATCGAAGACGAGATCCACGAAACTATTCCTCGATGTTGCTAAAAAAAAAAAAAAATTTCATGATCCAAACAATTCAAGCCTCTTGAGTAAGGCCATGTGGCTTTATGTTTAGGTCCTGCCGCCAGGAGTCCCTGAATATCCAAGCACATATGTGCTATTGATGCCCGTCGTGAGCACAAACCTCATCTGAAACCATGAATCAGTACTAACTTGATGCACGGTGTCAGGGAATTCAACATTCGCGAGGTCTTCAACATCGGAAATCAGTGTGACGTCAAGCGTGGTTATATCCCTGGAATTTAAATCCCCAGCACTTAAACTATATTTCTTTAATCTTCGTGGAAGAAGAAGAATCTTTCTCTTTGCACACTGTTGGCCGTTGAAGCCCGAATTGGTGAGATGGTTGGGATGCGCGCCACCGTGGCCATGTCTCACACTCACACTCAAAGTTCCATTCACGTGTAATGCGAACGCTCATTATAAAGTAACGCAAAATCCAACTGGTTGCTAGCTATTTATTTGAAAAGGAATTAAAATTTGTCACTTACTTCCATCGTCTTGACTGAACATGTGGCTCCGAAATTTTACCCCCAAATTGGAATTCAGGGTTTACGAAAATTGGAGATTGTTCTCCACTTAGGGTTCATAAAATTAATCCTAATTTTCATAATTAGAATTCTATAAAATTAAACAGACATGAATCAAGTATGGGCGGCTCTGATACCAATTGTTAGGTAAACTGTAATTAATTATGATCTTCATTATCAAATATAAATGTAATCCCATACTGATAATCATATTGTAAACTGAATGCGAAAGCGTACATGAATTAGCCATAATGATGATATCCTTTGTAGAACACTATATTGGTCTTATGGTCTTCCACTTGAAGAGCACCTGTATTTCCTTCTTGATTTTCTCTTTTGATGGGAATAGAAAGAAAAGAACGGGACCGATACTTACGTTCTGTGTGTGCTCCCGAAGGGGACCATGACCACTTAAAATAACCAGAATTAGGTTAATTACTTAAGTTTTAGTATTTTTAATTTGGCCCCTCATCAAATTAGAAATTACTCTATGGTCTCTACACAATTTTATTTTCATAATATATGTTTTTAGCAAAAATTTTAATTTAGTTAGATCACTTTATTATTTGACTTAATAAATAATGGCTCTAACATATTTAAATTATGTATCATATATAAATATGATCCAAATTTTGTCAATACCTCGAACTCGAGTACGACAAATCTTTAAATGTTTAATAAGCAAAAACTACATTTTTTTTTTAGTTTCGTGAGAAAGAGACTATATCTTAAATTATTATAAAAATAATCATAATATTAATAATTTTTATTAAAACGAGTTTCATAGTAATTCACCTACTACATTATTAATGATTGCATAGGATGTAAATTAAAATGACCACGTAAGATTTTGAGTCAAAGTCACTTCATAGGATGCAAATTGAAATGACCACATAGGATATCGAGTTAAAACTACCTCATAGGATGTTAAATTGAAATGGTCACTTAGAATCTCAAATCAAAATCATCTCATTGCAAATTAAAATGACCGCATAGGGTCACAAGTCAAAATCATCTCATAAGATGCAAATTGAAATTATCCCATAGGAGGAATCAAAGTCACCTCGTAGGATATAAATTAAAATGATCACATACGTCCCAAGTCAAAATCATCTCATAGGATACAAATTAAAATGATAGTATAAGGTTCCAAACCATCTTATAGAGTGCAAATTAAAATGATCACGTAACTAAAATCCAAGTTAGAACAATCACGTAATGATGTTATATTGTGTATAAGTTTCAAATTCTTTTTTCCAAGTTCCTTGAAAAAAAATCTTAAAAAATATATAATTATTTAATTAAAGATTAAAACTTCAATTATAAGAACTAAAGTTCATTGTTTTTAAAATTTTAAGGGACAAAGAGAGTGTTTAAAAGAGGCAAATTTAAAGTAATTTTATTTTACAAAAATAAATATTATATATTTTCATTATTATCAATACTCTTATTAATGAATTTTATTAAGTAATTTAAAAGAGAGTTGATTGGTGGTGGAAATGATTAAAAATAAAAATATTAATTAATCGCGCCAGGTAGGGATCGAACCTACGACTTTCTGCTTAGGAAACAGACGCTCTATCCACTGAGCTACAGGCGCTTACCAATATATAATTTATACGTATTTTAATTATTTCTAATAAATAGTAGTTCTACTCATGTTTATCTTCCTGACTGTTTAATTCTCATTTTGAGTGATTGTTAATACATGTATTCGATCCTTATGAATAGAAGTGTTACTAACTATTCATATTTTACATCACTTGACACATCAATTAAAACTATATTATTATATAATAAAAAAACATGTCCACTCACAAATCTTACGGACCTTAAATTAATAAGGTCAAGATCAAAGATAATTTAAATTTATTTTCCTCTCTCTTAAATTATCGAAACACCTTTCAAGAACAAAATCACGGCGGAATTCAAAAGCGGACAATAACTCAAAAATGAAAATTGTGGATATCTAAATAGAATTTTCATTACAATGTAAAGTATTTTTTTTTCCTTACTAACAATAATTTTTATTAATATTGTAACATAATTAGAGTAAATAGCTGTATATTACTTTTTAAACATTTACAATAACATCATTTAGAAGTGTGATGTTTTTTTAAATAATTAAAAATTAGTATAATGCGTAAAAAGTGTCATAATGTTTTCTAAACAAGAGAGAGTTAAATGTAGATAGAAAAGACAGAAAATATTTATATAATTTCAAGAGACCTCAAGGATAATTAATACAATTTATTCTAAATTTTATAATAATAATAATGAACAATGAAATTCTAGAAAATTAACGTTGTGTTAACACTAAATTAATAAGAAAAATAAAATTATACAATGTACATTACAAGCTTGTCACACTTATACATAAAATTATATTGTTATGTTTTAGCCGTTGTTTTGTTTGAATTAGATAGTGAGAAGTGAGTTTGTTAGATTAAAGGGAAGAAAAACTAAAACTTAAAAATAAGAAGAAATGATTCAACAAAAATGATATTAGATTTGATTGATTTGAAATAGTTAAAAATATATAGTAATTAATGAATATAAGAAATTATCATAATACCTTTATTTAAAACTAATGATTATTAAATAAGATTTAGTATGAATGCTAATAAAAAATTATTTTACTTCATTTATAAATGTTTTTAGATATGTTAACTAAAAAAATATAAAAAAAATGGAATCAGGAGTGTGGTTCGAATCCTTTGTTAATATAAAAAAATTAACAAATAATATTTGTAAAACGAAAGAAAAAGAAGAAAAAAATAGAAATAAAATAAATGAAATGTAGAGAATAGTTTGTTCATTGAGGTTATGTCGATCTTATAAGTGATAGTAAGAACATAACATAACAAAATATTCTCATTTTATAATAAAATGTATCCTTTTCTTTCCCCTAACTTCTTAAACAAGCCTATACAACCTACCATTTTCATTAAAATCAGCATCATCCCCATATACAATAAATCATATAATGCAAACACAGGCTTAAACATTTCACATTAATTGACTTAGCAATGCCTCATATATTGTTATGACAAATTCTAACGATAAGATTAAAGTTAATTCAGAAATTCTTACGTTAACTCATGACAAAGTATCTTTATACCTTCTGTCTAGATCGAATTTATCAGAAAACCGTTAGCATTATTATCATATAACTCGAGGGATCTATTGCATTTCATAAGGGAAACAAGAGTTAGATGACAATTAAAAACATTCAGAAAATATATAAAATAGTTTGAAGTAAGAATTTGTTCATGATATAGAGGACATTGATTTCAAGCATACTTTACTGATATGTTGTATTGCAATTCATCTTCACTACAGATTCATGGAACGAGAAAGCGATGGAAGCTTTTGATCATTTAAAAGAACGCAGAAAAATCTAATGGTTATGATATCTCCCCTAAAAGCGTAATACCTAAAATCAGCGAAGAGAGTTCTCCGGTTATTTCTATCTAGAATTTATTTTGTACAAAGAAATTGAACAAAAAGTTGGTTTTTGTATTAAAAACTCACATCCAAATTAGAAACTCAAAATTATCTTAATGCAATTATCTATCTAATAAGAGAAACTGATTAAAATACTAGAAAAAAACAGCTGTTTGAAGCAATTTCCATTAGAAGAATTTGAATTGACATTATAAGCTGTTTTAAAAATATTTTTTAAGTTGATTCACTAAATAACTACATAAATAATTACAAGAGTAAGTTCGTAAGGAGAAGGTTGAACTGAAAACCATATACATTAAGTAACGCCACTAGAGTAAAATAAAAAGAATCCAGCATTCATAGATCAAAAGCATTTCCACGATTATATGAAAGCAACGACCAACCACATCTCAATACAGACAATAGAACAGAAAATGCTTCATATAGTAAAAACATAAATTTAGTCTAAAACTCATCCACAAGCTCAGTAGCAGGACATCAAACATTATAGGTGCATAATTTAGGTCCATGAGAATTAACAATTGACTTCCACTAATTACCAAAAAAACAAACAGCAATGTTTTGTTTAAGTCCTGATCCGAATCATGAGTGATCCTCTAGCGCAACCTTCTTGCTTCTCTTTCGGACTCAAGCAGGGTGAGAATGTCTCCTTCTCTCACAGGTCCTTTCACATTCCTCATGATGTGCCTGTTTTGATCATCCAAAAACTTCACTCTAACCTGAGTCACCTGCCCTCTAGACCCAGTACGACCCATTACTTTAACAACAAGGGCGTGCTTCACCTGAGATTCCATCCTGTTCATACACAACCAACATTTATAATGTTATGTATAGAACAAACTGTGTACAACATTGATAATCATTTTATCTGTACAGAAAAGTGTTGAACAACATATAAAATGCAGTTAATCCTGCTGCAGAACAAGCTATTACTGCAAAAATTGGTGAATACAACCTATTATCATTAAGAATCTCATCCTCATACCAAAAACTGGCAAAGGTGGAATACCGCAAAGAGAAAGTACCCACTAAAAAAAGTTTTTGTAATTGGTACATGTTTGGCTAAAAGGTACAAAACATATTTTGACTTTTAGCCGGACAATATCCAACAACAGCTTCCATTGAATGAATAATGGATCCAGATCCTAAAAACAACAATGCTTTTGAATAAAAAAGAGTAATCAAATGAAATTAAGGGACTCGATAAGATCCCATAGAGAGTTAAAATCAAATGTTTTCCTATTGTTATGTGAAAATAAAATAATATCAACAAAATTCAACAACTAACAAAGTTCAAAATGATGCTCCAGGGATCAGAACTACAATTTTTTCTATTAACACTTTAAGGAGCAGGAGACAAAAGGAAAAACGATCCCATTAGTAAAATTCTCAAAACACAATTTCACTAATTTTTTTTTCTAATTAGTAAAAATTCTCTTGTAATTTCTCTCCCATTAAATTTCTTTAAATTTGGAACACGGTAAAACCTAACAAAAAAAAAACACTTTTTTATCCCAATTTCTCTTCCAAGAGTTGTTATAAAAAATCTATCCTAGCATAATTCCAAAAGATCCATACAAATCTCAAACACAATTCAAAAATAGTTCCTTCCAACGCTTCACAAAATATGACCAGAATGACGTTCTTCTCTATCATAAAGAGGATCGCACAATAACGCTATAGAAATCGCAATTACAAAAACAAAGAATAACAAACATAAGTACAAAGTAATACATAGTGGGTGAATGAAGGAGGAGATTGAAGGAAATATTCAAACGAGGGTGTACCGGAAATTGGTAGAGGGAAGAGGAGGCAAGGATGGTGGCGGCTTTCTCTTCAATGATTCTATCTCTCGCAGAGAACAACCACAGCTCAAAACCCTAGTTTATAAAGATTGTAAAGGGGTTTTAAATTTTCTTTTATTTTAATATACAACACTGTATCACTCCTTTTAGAATCTTTAATTTTTATTATGCCTTCTTGTTTGATAATTTTATTCCAATGGGTAGATTTTACTAAATTTTAGAAAAAGAATGTTTTTTTCGTATTTTATTAATCATTAAAAATTATTATAAAAATGTTCAAATTTATTATTAATTAAAATCATTAACAAAAACTAATTTTAGCCAATCTCATCTTTTATTTAATACCTCTATCTCAAGAAATTGATAATTTTTATATCATCATAAAATAATGTCACAGAGCGTCTTGTTAACATTCTTTTTCTTAAATTTTTTTATTATAAAGATATAAATCATAATTTTAAAATCTATGATGAAAACATTTATCGAATGTTAAAATGAAAATAATTAACAACAATTGCATATAATTTAAAAAAAATACAAATAATACATATATGTTGAATTTTTTATGTGCAACTAACACAGGTAATAGTTTGAATTTATTTATTTCTAATTAATATAATTAATGATTAATATCTTATAATTAAATTAATACAACACAAAAACTAAAAGTTAATAAGATGATTTTCGTCTGATGTATTATATTAATTATTTTTTAAATTTGTTAAATGGTTAATTTTCTAAAATTAATATATTTTAAAAGAAAAATTATGAATTTATTTATTAAATTTATTTATTATTTATATGTAAAAAATATTATAATTTTTTTTCTTTCTTCATCCATTCTTTATTCTTTATTTTGTATCTTATATCTCTTATTTTTCCCTCTCCTCTTCTAATTAAATTTTCTTAATTTAAATTTGTAATATGAAACTTAATACATTAAAATAACACTCATAAATAAAAGTCATCATATTATTATTAACATCATAAAAATTAATAAAAACATAAAAACAAAATATCTATATAAAAATATTAGAATATTACACAATACAATCTTTCTAAAACCTTATTATCAAATAAAGAGATATCTTAAAAGTATATATATATATATATATATATATATATATATATATATATATATATATATATATATATATATATATATATGTGTGTGTATAACCTTAATGGTGAAAATTATCAACTATATTACAAGAAATAATATCAACTGTATTAGGAAAAAAATATGAAATCATGTTAACAATTTACTATATTATTTTTTGGTAATATAGTTGAGAATAATTTAAATATAATTGATAATAAAGTTGATACTTTAAATATAGTTGAGAAATAATATTTAAAAAAAAGTGAAATCATGTGTACAAATTTTAAAAACATATTTAAACGTTAACAAAAAATTTAAATATGAATAACATTTCTTTATTTAACAGTACTTCATGGGTTGATTTCTTGTAATATAGTTGATAATTTTTACCATTAAGATTATATATATTAAGATATCGTTTTAGAAAGATTGTATTTTGTAACATTCTAATATTTTTATTATTTTTATATAGAAATTTTATTTTTATGTTTATATATTTTTTTATGATGGTAATAAAATCAGGACGAGTCTTATTTCAATATATTAAGTTTCATATTACCATTTAAAACTATGATAATTTATATATTTTTTATTAACATATAACTCTTACTTTAATTACTTTTTATATAAAGAATAATTATTTTTTCTTTAATTACTCTTATTTTAAAAGATATTGAATGATATATGTGTATTATACTATGTCCTTAAAAATAATAACTCTTACTTTAAAAGGAATACCAAGTGTTTCAAACCACATATACCAATTACTTTATCCATCAATTTGAACATAACCCAACTTACTTCTACTTAGTTTCAACAAATTTTAATCCATAACAAGTCATATTTCAACGTACCTTCGAGATTAATAATCAATCAACCTCATTTTATTAACCTTGGTCCTTCCTATCCTCCAAAAAATCTTTGCTGGACTTGTGAAAACCCTTTAACAATCCAAGAACCCACCAAGACCTTATCCTATAGTGTATGGTTCTTATTTTTGCTCAATATTATGTATCTTGAGGACTCAAGTGGGAAATTCCACCATTTCTACAAGCCTCATTCTAGGCTTCCATCACACTATCTTATTTTAAATAATGTTAGAGAATATCACTAGAATATATTTATGTTTTTTATCTTTGTGTTTTCTCTCTCCATTATTTTACTTTTGGTTAGTGCAACTATATATATATATATATATATATATATATATATATATATATATATATATATATATATATATATATATATATATATATATATATATATATATCAGCTCTTGTATACCATGTTAAAAATTGATAACCATAAATAAAAGAAAATATCACTACTATAAAATATACTTTTAACGTCGCCATTTAACGTCGGTTCATCTAGAGCCGACGTTAAATACACTTTCAACGTCGGTTGGTTAAAAAACGACGTTGAAAGTGGAATGTTGGACACATTCTACGTCGGTTCTTAGTCAACCGACGTAGAAAGCACTTTCCACTCGGTTCTTAGTCAACCGACGTAGAAAGCACTTTCCACGTCGGTTCCTAGATGAACCGACGTTGAAAGTCTTTTAATTTAGACATTCAACGTCGGTTCCCAGATGAACCGACGTTGAATGTGTTTTCACCCAAAAATTCTCTTAATTTCAAGAATTGTCACTGACAGATTCGAACCCAGTATTTTAGAGTTGAAAGTTGATACTCCAACCACTAAACTACTGTAATTTTCTGATAATAACTTACAAATTAATTATATTTATATACAAATAAATATATATCCGTGTAAATATATATTTATTTATATATATTTTCTGGAAAGTGTTTTTATTTTTTTTCACCAAAAATTTACTTAAGTTCGAGAATTGTCATCGACAGATTCAAACCCAGTATTTTAGAGTTAAAAGTTGATACTCCAACCACTAAACTACTGTAATTTTCTCGATAATAACTTACAAATTAATTATATTTATATATAAATAAATATATATCCGTGTAAATATATATATTTTCTCGGAAAGTGTTTTTATTTTTTTCAACTAAAAATTTACTTAAGTTAGAGAATTGTCACTAACGAGATTTTTTGAACCCAAGTATTTTAGAGATGAAAATTGATACTTCAACCACTAAACTACTATAATTTGTTTATAATAATTTACAAATAAATTATATTTATATATATATAAAAATATATATTCGTGTAAATATATAAATATAGAATATATAAATACAAATATATTTATATATTTTGATATATTTATATATATTTATATAGTTATATAGTTATATATTTATATGTTGGATGTGAAGGCGCGTTCGAGGGTGAAAGTGAGATTGACTCTCGCTTGAGTAAAAATACGTTAAAACTCACGGAAATTCACTCGTTCAAGCCTCGCTTGAGTAAAAATTGGTATTTTTCGCTTGAGCGAATAATGCGTTTCTCATATTTATTTTATATCATTAATAAATTATAAATATTATATTCTGTCATTAAATTACAAACCCATATAAAGAGACTCGCTCACAAATTTGACATCAAATTTTGAAAACTCACTCGACACACTTTCACCTTCGAGCGTGCCCTCACATCCAACATATAAATATATAATTATATAAATATATCAAAATATATAAATATATTTGTATTTATATATTTATATATTTACACGGATATATATTTATTTGTATATAAATATAATTTATTTGTAAGTTATTATCAAAAAATTCGAGTAGTTTAGTGGTTGGAATATCGACCTCCAACACTAAGGTACTGGGTTCGAATCACGTCAGTGACAAAAAATTAATTTGGTAATGTTCTAAACTTTAAAAAAAGATGATAAATAATAAAAATATAATATAAAAGAGAGAGGGACCTAATAAAAATATAATATAAAAGAGAGGGGGATTTCTAGATAAATAGAGAGAGGGGAGAGGGGTTGGAAATAAATAAAAATTTTCGATTTGAAAGTCAAGACTTTCAACGTCGCCTGATATAACGTCTGCTCTGAACCGCCGTTGAAGGCCTTCTAGAACCGACGTGGAAAGCCTTATTTGTAGTAGTGATGTTAATATTCCAATATATATATATATATATATATATATATATATATATATATATATATTTATTTATTTATTTATTTATATTTCCTAGACCCTCCGTCA